TAAAAATTAACGTTATTATTTTTTGCCTTTAACTTGAAACCGGAAGCCACATGAGCATTTTTGTTCAAAAGTCTTCAAAAATCCATGAAAAATCGGTCTTCTAAAATAGAAGAAAAGAGAATAGACAATAGTTGTTGCAATATAGATGACCATCGCTTGAAAATGATTTCGACAACGGTAGGCATTAGGTAGTGAAACTATCACGAAACTAGTCATTATCCTTTTCCTTAAATTTCTTGACCTGCAGCGCATTAGTTTTTCATTAAAAAAGGAGTAGCAAATGTACTCAATACATCTCATTACTAAATGATTCGTTTGTGGATCACACTTTTAAGGGGTTAGAGGACATCAGTAATTCGTAGATAATCAAAAGCAAGTTTTTCGTTCAAAACCAAAATTACAGTCATGAAAATGTATTCATTGCATTCTACTTGCCTACTGGAACACAGTGAACACATTTTAATGAGCAAAATTTCGGTTTTAAACGAAAAAAAAAACTTTTTAAGTTTTCAAAAATGAATGACGTCCTCTTTCACCTTAAATGAGTAGTGAACTATTTGTGTCATTCAAATTTGGATTTATTGCTGAAAAAGATTTATTTGCTTGATAAGCCGGGGAATGGCCAAGTTTCTATTCCGTAACCCTATATATTTTTGAGAGCAGATTTTATATTTGCCTGCGATTTTTGGCCAGCATGAAAATGCCTAGTGAATTTTGGGATATTCAACCAAAACTCATCAATTTTGCACAGCTCAAAGATTTGAGTATGTAGAATCCATTGTAACGGGTCGGGAGTGTTTTAGCGAAAGAGGAAAATCACGGCCTTCACTTAAGCGCCAGGTAACACTAGGTTACCGTGAAGGGGCAAGTTCTCAGAAACCGAATCCCGTTCCGGCTAGAGACCTCAGGGCAGGTTTATCAAAAATCCTACAAATGGCGGCAAGAATTGCACTGAACCCAACAAACGAATAAATTACCTACAGGGAGAAGACAAAATCATCGGTAAGCGGGGTTTCCTATGATGGTTTTCCCCACATTACCTACAGGGATCTACTAACGGAAAAAAAAACTATTTGTTCCAAATGTGTCTCAAATCCAGCCTCGCACTACACAGATTCCGCGGTTTACTAAGGACATGCAGTTTAAATTAACGAATTCGTTTCAACATTTATTTATTGCTTCCTAGCTAGGGTTAGTGGGCTTCACTTACTGGATATGGCACTGTTCAATGTTGCTGGGTGATGTTCGTTGCGCGCGTTGTTGCATGTTGGTTGGTGTCTGCGATGATGGTGACAGGTAGGTGTAGCAAATACCTTTTCAACTTGCTTTATTTGTGGGATAGCACAAGATGGCGAGACTGATGTTAGTCGATGGATGGCTCGCAGCGGGGAGCTTTTTTTCTAAATATGCCGACTTGGCGCGGTGACAACGAGGTGGCAGGGTTTTAGGCTCGTGCACGACGGGATTCGACCAGCTATGCCGACAGAGCGCTGTCGAGCGGGGCTGCACGTCGGAAGTCGACACGTGCAACACACAACTTTCCACCGAGGGTAGACGGTAGGGTTTTACGGCCTAAGGGTAGGACCTTCGTTTGAAGGATTTTCCTTCAAGCGAATTTTAGCGTGTTAGTGTTACATATTATGTGTTTTTTTTTACTGACTGTTATTACCTGGAGTATGGTGGTACACTAAACAACGAAGGTGCTAGTATTCCTGAAGTTATATGTATATATATCGCTCTGTAATTAATATCACTGTTACTGCCCTTGTCTAACTTCACATTAAATGTTACAAACCTCCGTGTATGCTTTTTACGTCACTTTAACTGCCTGGTATGTCTCACTGTCTGACCGTTAATTTTATTCGTTAACTTATACCTTCCCTACTTGCCACCTTACTATTGATCTACTATGTCCTATGTTCACCTTGTTCACTGTCTCGTGGTTGGAAAGCTTTTCAAGAACACATCTGGAACAATCATGGCTCTACCCTCTAGGGAGCTACAATACCCGGGCATTCGTTGGTTCGGCTCGGACTCGGACGTATTTTTCCGGTGGGCTAAACAAACTCCCATTTTTAATCTGTTTGACAGATCTGCCGTGAGTTACCAACCGCAACTGAACTCAGTGACCAAGAACGGTTTTTTAAAATAAGTGATGCCAGATTATATAAAGGATAGGTGGGATACTTTTGTAACCTCGTTACACCATCATGACACTTTTTTACAAATAAAAGTAAAATTATGAACTTGAATCTTTGAACAATGATTCTTATGTAAAATTGTGCGCTGAATTCAAAAATGTAGTCGAAAAAATCTCAGTAGGATAGTTTTTGAGATACAGCTAAAAAAATTAAAATTTAATTTAAAAAAAAAATTTGAATTTCTGCTAAGTTAGCAGTGTAAATGAAAATGTTTGTTGTGGTTGTACCACTTATCTCACTGAAAAATAATTTTTAATTTTTCGAAAGCAAACTTCATCACCTTTAGTTTGACGTAAAAATAATTTATATAACTTCATTACAATTGGAGATATTTGTATTTTTAGGAAACACATTTTTTATTTTTTTTTAGCTATATCTCGAAATCAGAGATGGAATTCTTTATGTCCAGTCTAGTATCCGTTCTGTGGCATTTGGACGGACAGTGGACCAAGTTGTCGGGAGCAGTCGTTCCGAAACCACCGGAAAATCTTCATTTTAAGCCAGCGAACCATGAGTCATTTAGAGTCCTGTATCATGTTTCTGAAGTCTGAGAAGTGGCAGCCCATCCTAGAGGATGTTGTAAAACTGAGAGATTCGGTGGCAGACTATATTCACTATCTAGAAAAAGCTGATGAAAAGTATAAGGCGACATCATCAGCCACGGTTAGCGATAATCGCTCTCTGACAAATACTGCATCGTATGATAACCGCGCTAGTCTTGTGAAGGTGTTGTACAAGGCTCTGGAAGGCAAGTTGATCTCAATGCCGCCGTATTCCGAACAAAACTTGATATTTTTTGCACCAATTGAAAGGCGTGCGAGATACAAGTATACTTCAGAGCTGGTTTTCGGTTTTCCTGTTCAAGTTTACAGGTGTTTCAAACCAAATGCAACATTTGTGTGGAGAACTACTCAGGATGATAACGAATCAGCTTCAGCTTCTGTCATAGCTCGAATCGAAAGGGACATTACCGAGCGAGTTTTGTCTGACAAAACTAATCGATTGGCACATACATACAGAGACGTTGCTCATTGGACACATGATAAAGTCAGCGAAATCATAGTTGCTATAACAGGTAGGTCTTAAGAAGATCCTTTACAACTTGCGAGACTTCATTTTTAAACTTTCTTTATACATGATGAAGAGCTCCCTCAGGAGGATATACAGGACAGTAGGAATGGATTCGAATTTCTACTGCGGGAAGGGTGATAGGTTTAAAATGCAGTTATCACTGTACCCATGAAATATTTTACTGTTCCGTTTTCCGCTGATTCCACCTAGCAATCTAATTGGATTTTGTATTGTTTACATTTTGCCTTTGTTCTGCATCAATCATCTCCCATTATGTATCAAGACACAACGTAGGAAGCAATTGAAAGTGAAAGTTGTTTTTCTTTGCTATTCCCGAAAAGTGCGTTTTTCTCGAGTTTTTCCCCGATTTTTACCCGTCGCGCGTTAGTTTTCAGTCGTGTGTGATTCCGTTGCTGTTTGGAAGAAAGGCAAGTGAGCCTCCCCTATTGGAGGGCACCAAACTGCTGGAACCGGAGGAGCCTATGCTGATCGTCGTCTCGCCTGTATATTCTGCTGTTGCCGCTGCCGCTGCCCGTACCTGTAAGGAATAGAGAAGAGGAGAAACCCGTCCCGGTACATATAAACCCGAAGCCCGTCCCGCAAAATTTCCTGGTGAGTCAACCCGTTGCCCATCATTTGGTGCCGTGACCAGGATACTGGTGTCCCATTCCCGACCGCGTGAAGTCGTCAGTGTAACCTCACTTCGACGCTATTGTGCCCGCATTAGAGTGGCCCAAATCAGCTCGTACCCACTGGAAAAATTGTTCCCGGATCGTGATTTTAAAAACAAAAGGCCTCAATCTAAGAGGTACAAGGTGAGTACCTCTCCAATACCTCTACGTCCATCATCGCGGTGCTTCTTGGGTCTTTTTTGACCATTTTAGCCTTATTGCTTGTGCCGTGTTTACGAGATGCCTGACGAAAAACGGATCAAAATGAAGGAGGCTAGAAGAAGGAATGCCATCGAAGGGATCAATCGATTGGATCAGTTTCTCACCGACTACGTTCCCGAGCAGCATCAGCATGAAGTTTCCCATCGATTGGATCGTCTGGAGAAGGTGTGGGACGTATTCGAGACCCTGCAGGAAGAATGTGAAGATCTGGATGACTCCGAAGAATCTTTGGAAAACAACTTGGAGCTGAGAGCAAAGGTAGAAGAAGTTTATTTCCGTGTGAAGGCAGGCCTAGCCACGAAGTTGCCGCCTACGACCATTCCTGCTGTTGCTGGTCCCTCTACCGCACCTGCTGCTCCAACCACCCTCGCCAATATAAAGCTGCCGACGATATCGCTGCCAGAGTTCGATGGCGATTTCAACAACTGGCTGACATTTCACGATACGTTTCTGTCGATGATACATTCGTCCACGGAGATATCGCAGGTGCAGAAGTTCCATTACCTGCGGGCTGCCCTGAAGGGAGAGGCAGCCAACTTGATCCAGTCGATAACGATAACGGCAAATAATTACGCTGTCGCGTGGGAGACGTTAATGAATCGGTACTCGAACAAGGCCATTCTCCGGAAAAAACACATCCGAGCCCTGCTCAAGTACCCGAAGATCCAGAGCAACACCGTGGAAGCACCACACCAAAGTTCTGGAACAACTTGGTGAGCCAGTCGAGCAGTTTAGTTCAATCCTCATCGAGCTGCTAGAGGACAAGTTGGACGACGCTTCGCTTACAGCATGGGAAGAATCGATCGCAACGGAGGAACACCCTACGTACTCCAAAATGGTCGAGTTTCTGCAGAAGCGAGCGCGCGTACTTGAGACGATTTCTATCAACCGACCGCAGCATGTTAATCCCAAGTCCGTTAATCATCCTTCAGCTCCGAAGAAATCAAACCAGCCCCGATTCAGTGCAAATGCAGCAACTGAAATTGTAGCAAAATCGTTCCCGATGTGCCCTGCTTGTGAGAGGCAGAAGCATTCCATTTTCGATTGCTCCGTTTTCAACGGTCTCGACTCGAAAGGTCGTATGAAGGTGGTTACGGACAAGAAACTTTGCAGCAACTGCTTCCGTAGTGATCACTTTGCCCGCAACTGTCGCTCGAAGTATTCATGCAAGCATTGCTCGAAGCGACATCATTCGATGATCCATCCGGGGCCATACGAGCTCAACTTGCCAACCACCGATGAAAATGCAGTATCTGGACTTGCCAATCCAGGTTCTTCCACTATGCTTGCCGCCGTTTCCGCTGTTCCCGTCAACGAACCCCCGTCCTCGATGGCAGTAGCTCAATCAACCAGTGTTCTCCTGACCACCGTAGTCTTGCTGGTAGTAGATGCGTACGGTCAAGAGCACATCGCCCGTGTCTTGTTGGATACTGGATCCCAACCGAATGCGATTAGCGAGCGTCTTTGTCAGCAACTTCACCTTAACCGTAGGTCTGTTAACGTGCCGATCGCTGGCGTAGATGGGACCGTTACGAACGCCAAGCATGAAGTAACTGCCGAGGTTCGATCACGTGTGTCCGACTTTCGTGAGGTGATTGATTTCCTGGTATTGCGGAAAGTGACCAGCGACACTCCATCCGTACCGTTCAACGCATCTGAACTGAAGCTTCCCAACGATCTTCCACTGGCGGATCCCGACTTTGGCACACCTCGTAGGGTGGACATGATCATTGGAGCTGCTCACTTCTTTTCCTTTTTGCGGAATGGACGGTTCCGCCTCCCAAGTCTCCTATTCGTCGAAACCGTGTTTGGGTGGATTGCCTCTGGAAAGATCGATGAGTCCAGCGGTAATTACCAGCAGCCAATAGCAACTTGTCATGTGGCGACAGTTGTACCGGTTGATGAACTGCTGCAGCGATTTTGGCAGATCGAGGAAGTAAACGGCTCAAATTACTCCGTAGACGAGCAGAATTGCGAGGATTTCTATCAGCAGACAGTTTCCCGAGATCCTACCGGACGATATATCGTTCGGATGCCCAAACATCCCCAATGTGACCAGATGATTGGGGAATCCAGAGCCATGGCAATGCGGCGTCTACAGTGGTTGGACAAGAGGCTGCAAAAGGATGATGAAATGAAGGCTCAGTATTACGCGTTCATGGAAGAATACATCAGTCTCGGCCATATGGTTCTCGCTCCCCATGACGATAATAATGGATCAACCAATTGCTACCTCCCGCACCATCCCGTGGTGAAACAATCGAGCACGACGACAAAGGTTCGAGTTGTGTTCGATGGCTCAGCGAAAACTAGCACCGGACATTCTCTCAACGATGCGCTGCTAGTTGGGCCAGTTGTTCAGGACGACATTCTGGACATTCATCTTCGTTTTCGGATGGTCAAGATCGCAGTAGTGGCGGATGCGGAGAAGATGTACCGGCAGGTATTGATGCACCATACAGATCGGCCATTGCAGAAGATTCTGTGGCCACCCAGTAGCAGCGGAACCGTTCAAGCTTATGAGCTGTGCACCGTTACGTATGGACTCGCGCCGTCTTCGTTTCTAGCCACGAGAACTCTGTTGCAGTTAGCTGAAGATCATGGAAGTGAATATCCGAAGGCAAGTAAGGCACTGAGGAAGAATGTCTACGTGGACGACTTCATTACCGGTGACAACACAATCGATGGCGCAATCCAATTGCGCACGGAGTTAATGCAGCTTCTGCAGAAGGGTGGTTTTCTTTTGCGGAAGTGGTGCTCGAATTCGCTGCAGGTCTTGGATGGTCTTCCTCCAGAGCTTCTCGGCACTCAATCTTCCATCAAATTTGGCCCCGAAGAGACCATCAAAACCCTCGGCATCAGTTGGGAACCTAAAGCAGACGTTTTCAAGTTCGACACGTCAATCATCGTCAACAACCAAACGCCTACGAAGCGCAACATTCTTTCGACCATCGCTCAACTCTTCGACCCTCTCGGAATCATTTCTCCCGTCGTTGTTCAAGCGAAAATCCTCATGCAGCATCTGTGGCTACTGGCACTGGAGTGGGATGCCGAAGTTCCTCCAGAAATCCGTCAGCAGTGGGTTCGATTCGCCGAGCAGCTACCTCAGCTTGCTAACTTTCGTATCGACAGGTACGCTCTCGTACCCAAGTATCGACGCATAGAGCTGCACTGCTTTGCAGATGCTTCAAAAGCAGCATACGGGGCTTGCATTTACGTCCGTTCTGAATCATCAGATGGCAGTGTGAAGATAAGCTTGTTAGCATCCAAGTCCAAGGTCGCACCACTGAAACCGCTCAGCATTCCGAGACTGGAGCTGTGTGCGGCACTCATCGCTTCCCGACTATATGACAGAATTTCGAAGGCGTTGGACATAAACTTCTCTGTTGTAGTTTTTTGGTCCGACTCTACAGTGGTATTGCAATGGATGAAATCTCCCCCACGATCCTGGAAAACCTTCGTTGCAAACCGTATTTCCGAAATTCAATCCACTACTCACGGCTCGGAATGGTTACACGTAGCTGGAAAGGATAACCCCGCAGATCTCGTTTCCCGAGGGATGTCAGCTGAAGAATTGGTCGCAAACAACTTGTGGAAGTATGGTCCAACCTGGCTGCAAGAGGATATATCACGGTGGCCGGTTCAACTTACGCAGGAAGACCAGTTACCCTCCGAGGAGATGGAAGCAAACCCGAACGTGATACTTACAACCCAGACGCTTAAGCCAACTTCATTGTTCGAGAGATTTTCATCGTACCCGCTTCTGCTTGGTGCAGTTGCATACTGTTTCCGGTTCTACAACAACACTCGCCGTAATAAGGAGCACCGGAAGTCCAGCAGCGTCCTGTCCGCCGCTGAATTACAGCACTCCAAATTAGCTCTCGTGAAGCTAGTTCAAGCTGAAACGTTCCCTGAAGATTTGAAGCAGCTGAAGAAAAGGCAAATGGTATCAGGAAAGTCCTCTCTTCGTCTGCTGAACCCCTTCCTCGATTCCGATGGTTTGATCCGCGTTGGTGGCCGGTTGCGCTTATCCGATGCACCATATGACGTGAAACATCAGATCGTTATTCCCGGATTTCATCCCTTTTCACAACTTCTTCTGAAGCATCAGCATCGTAAACTCGTGCACGGTGGAATTACGCTGACTCTCGCTGTCGTCCGTGACGAGTTCTGGCCACTGAATGGCCGAAAATCAGTACGTAGTGCCATTCGTAAATGCTACGAGTGCAGCAGATCGAACCCGCAACCCATCCAGCAACCGATTGGCCAGTTGCCCGTTGCAAGAGTGACCGCCAATGAAGCTTTCGTTTGCACAGGCGTTGATTATTGTGGTCCAATCTTCCTCAAGCCGATCCACCGTAGAGCCGCCTCCCGCAAATCCTACATCTGTGTCTTCGTGTGTTTGAGCACGAAGGCGGTTCACCTGGAACTGGTGAGCGACCTTAGCACGGCCGCTTTCCTGATGGCCTTAGATCGTTTCGTGTGGAGGAGAAATAAGCCACAGCATCTGTACTCCGACAACGGCACGAACTTCATCGGTGCGAAGAATGCTTTGCACGAACTCTATGCCATGCTTCAACCCGGACCAGACAACGACAAGATCTCCAAGCACCTCGCTGAAGACAGCATCCAATGGCATCTGATCCCTCCTCGAGCTCCCAACTTTGGTGGCCTCTGGGAAGCCGCGGTGAAGGTAGCCAAGACCCACCTGGTGCGTCAACTCGGTTCTTCACTACTTTCTATCGAAGAGTTCTCCACGGTACTGACTAAAATCGAAGGGTGCATGAATTCCCGTCCTCTGCTCCCACTTTCGAGCGATCCAAACGATTTTGCTGCGCTCACCCCGGCGCATTTCCTAGTGAAGAACATGATTCGTCCCATTCCCGAAGCCGACGTCCGTGATGTACCGTTCAACCGTCTCAATCAGTACCAAAAGCTCCAGAAGTACGCTCAAACTTTCTGGCATCGCTGGCGCAATGAGTACCTGAAAGAGCTGAACCTGCAGTATAATGCCAACCCGAAGCGCTACCAAATCAATGTAGGAGACATCGTCATCGTGAAGGATGAATCCTTGCCGCCAGCCCGGTGGCCTTTGGCCCGCATAACCGAACTGCATACTGGACTCGATGGCGTCACCCGAGTCGTAACCGTTCGCACCCCCACGGGAATCTTCAAGCGAGCTGTGTGCAAGATTTGCCCATTAGAGTGTTCTACGGAATAATTAATTTTGCAATAATGTATCGCTAGGGAAGAAATGAGTAAAAGTGAATTCAATTACTTTAAATTTTGAAATAAGTTTTCAAAAGGTGGCCGGTTATGATAGGTTTAAAATGCAGTTATCACTGTACCCATGAAATATTTTACTGTTCCGTTTTCCGCTGATTCCACCTAGCAATCTAATTGGATTTTGTATTGTTTACATTTTGCCTTTGTTCTGCATCAATCATCTCCCATTATGTATCAAGACACAACGTAGGAAGCAATTGAAAGTGAAAGTTGTTTTTCTTTGCTATTCCCGAAAAGTGCGTTTTTCTCGAGTTTTTCCCCGATTTTTACCCGTCGCGCGTTAGTTTTCAGTCGTGTGTGATTCCGTTGCTGTTTGGAAGAAAGGCAAGTGAGCCTCCCCTATTGGAGGGCACCAAACTGCTGGAACCGGAGGAGCCTATGCTGATCGTCGTCTCGCCTGTATATTCTGCTGTTGCCGCTGCCGCTGCCCGTACCTGTAAGGAATAGAGAAGAGGAGAAACCCGTCCCGGTACATATAAACCCGAAGCCCGTCCCGCAAAATTTCCTGGTGAGTCAACCCGTTGCCCATCAGGTTTCCGGTTTCGGAAGCGGTACATCTCGAGTGGTAAGTTTTGAAGTTACATGACACATTCCAGATATTGAATTGGTTGGTTTTCACGACGCTTCTCCGAATACTCTACTGTTTTTTCTTGGATGACAAAGTGTCGATTCCAGTGGGATTGGAAGGAGCCCCTGTTAGCGCAACTCGAAGACAGCGGCATGTACTCATGGCTGGACTTGACGGAAGAGGGCTTAATGCTATGGATCACGATAATGTGCCGCAGCATTTAGTTCCATCGGTTTCTATCAAACTGATTCCTCCGAAGGAGCTCTTGGAATCGTGGTATAGAGGAAAACCGATGATTATATTGAAGGACATGCAACGGAATTGGTCAAGCATATAGAAGAACCTGATCTGCAACGACCGATTATGTTCATTGGAACGGATGGAGGACCCGATCACAATGTGAATTCTATTCAAGTAAGACTCAGCTACGTTGCATTGTTTTTGGAACTTAATCTAGACTACCTCTGTGCGGTGCAAACTCCACCAAATTTATCCGTCATAAACCCAGCCGAAAGATTCATGAGCCCGGCGAACATTGCACTAATTGGAGTGGCCCTTGCCAGGAATGATCTCGGAAAAAATGAAAAGAAAGTTCGTTCATTTCTTTCCAAAAAGCAATGGCGAGATGCTCAAGAAAAGCATCCTGAAACAAAGTATCGTCAATTGGTAATTGATGGGACCAGAGACGTGCGGAATATATTGAATACCCGTTTCGAAAGTTTGACGTACAAAGGTGAACAAGTGAGGATGGGCTGTCCTGCTACCGAGGGTGAAATTGGTGCACTGAGGAATCAGGTCTCCATGGCATTCGGTGTGTCTATGCCATGTCTATGGAGGGAAGATAACCAAAAATTCAAGAGTTCTTTGAGAAACACGTCAGGGCTACCTGGCTATCCATTCCAGGTGAAAAAATGTACTGACAAGTCGTGTCCATATCATGAAAAAGTCCGGTTGCCAACATCCATCTTTAATCAAATTTAATGGCTTCCCTCGCCTGTTCCTGAAGGAGATAAATATCAGAACTTTGATTCTGTTTTCGGTAACGAACCTACTGATGAACACGTCCCAAGCAAACAAGCAGCGTCTTCTGATTTTGAGATAATTCTACCCAAACCGTCATTCCCGTTAGCGTATACTAGGGCACGAATGATTGTCACCTGTACGGAATGCAGCTTTCCGAGACTGCTGTATACAAAATACGCACTGGACAAAAAGGGATATACTGACTTGGGTCAATATTTCGAAGAAAAGTTGTATGTTTGTGGCTCGCTGCTGGATTCATTTCCAGAAGTATTCCAGAATCCAAAATTGTCATGCCATGATCCTATCACATTACATTATTATCAAGCTGGCCCAAATTTGATGGGGTATAAATATTTGTGCGCTAAATGTCTCAATCCCAACGTTACAGGGATTGAAAAGAAATTATTGTTCTGTGAACGGTGCTCCTCCAAAACAGTGACGCCAATTGATAAAACATCTGCTGCTGAACAGAAAACTGAGCGGCGTCCACGTGGTAGACCTAAGAAGAGCTAGTTATACTGTTATTAACGATCGAATGTCTGATCACTGTTTTTTTTTAATCTTGATAATAAAAAAAAAATATAAATAAAATTTGTATCGGCCTAACTAAATGTTTCTAAATGATTATTTAGGGTTTTGGTTTCAATCTGATCCACATTTACGACGAAGTTTAGAGTTTCCGGTAATATAACAGCTGTCTAACAAGTTGTTTTAACGGAATGGCTACCGAATAGAAATAGGATGCCGACAATAGACACACTCACCTGAGAAATTTTGAACATTGCATAAACGTTTTATTATAGTTTATGACAATTCCATCCATTGGTATGGAACAGCTAGCTGCAAGCAAATCTCGCGTCAATTTCATATAGACTAATTACATTGATCGATTCTCTTCATCGACTCTTCGACATCAACATCGACTTTTTCGCTCCACAGTTCTTAAATGGTTTCAAATCGGGTCCTGATTAGCCTCCAAAAGTTTTACAACTCATTTGGTTAGAAACAGACTTCGCACAAATCATTTGAAGTTTACATGTAAATTACTATGGGAAATCTCAATTTTTTATTCATTGCCTTCTAGTCTTTTGCCATATTGAGCTGCGGAACAGTTCGATAGCCATTCTTATAGAAAATTTTTTCAGCTACAACTTTGATAAAGATCATTTCTATGTAAAACGAGACAGGAAAAAGTTATTAATTATTTAAGAGATTGGTAAACTTATGACATGATCAAGCTGCTGCTCTGAAGGCAACACTGTATTTTGCAGTGTGACATAGTAGCAATGATTTTTGTGTCCTATTCAATGCCCCAGAAACACCAATGTTGCCTGCTGAGCAGTTGATTGAGCATGATCATAAGACATCAGCGCATTGAACCATTGATCCTTGCATTTAATCAAAAAGTGGTCTTCAGCAAACTTGTAGCTGGGAAAATTTCCTACAAGTACAGTTAAAAGTTGTTGAAGCAGACTGATATGGTGAATTATTAGATAGACATAAACAAAAATCTTGGTTTTACCCTAGTAATTCCCATACAAACTTCGAATGGTTTGTGCCATCTCAGTTTCTCACCAAATGGGTTCAAATTTGGAGAGGTTAGTCGGGATCAGATTTGGAATCGTTTAAGTATTGTGGAGCGAAAATTTCAAATAAATAGATAATATTCATAGAAGTGAATATAGCAACATAGGCACTTTAGAGGAAAGTGGATTTCAAGATGATCGCGAATCGCAATATAGACGTTTCCGTAACACATATTTCTCCTGTAATATATGAAAATTACGTATCGTGTGAAAAATGCGTTACAAGTTTTGTTAACAAAAGCTGATAGACCCTTTTCAAATGCTTCGTGAGACTTTTAATATTTCTTGGCTTGTCACAATAGGCTTTCTATTTTTATTCTTTAAACCCAACTATTCATACTTTGCAAAGGCAAAAGAAGACGTTTTATTCTTAACAAAATGCTGTCTTATCATTAGAATCGCCTGGAGGAACATCCGTAAATGACGTAGCTTATGTTTTACTAATTTTACACCACCTTTTAGACACATTTTAGATGGGGGACTAAGCGTTTTTTTTTTCAAGTATATTATATTAACAATATGATCCACTCTTTCACTTAGCTGGCGTATCAAATTTTTAACGATGAAAGCGCTTCTGTGTCCAAAAGGCTGCCAATGTATTTGTTTATCTTCACGAGAGGCAAATCAAAGGAAAAATTGTATAATATACATTTTTATGTAAAATAAAAAAAAATGTAATTAATGAACATAATTTGACTTTTTCCTTTTGTAATAAATTCACGCCATTCAATTGTAAATGATCAAAGTAGGCCACGCTGTGAAAATGACGTGTTTATGTTTTGCTGCGTCGTTTTCATTCTAGTGAAAATGTTATAAATTTACAATTTCATTTAAAAAAAGTGTTAATTTGAAAGTACAGAAGTGATGTTGAAAAGTGCATTAGGTGAAAATTTTCAAATTCTTATCCGTTGCATGTGGTGCCGACTGTTCTAACCTGTCCTCGATAGGAAATATCCATCTAATTCAAGACGATCAAGTATTGCACTACTGCTTGATTGAAAGTTTCAGTACAATATCAGTGGTTTATGTTTGCATCGATAGTGTGTTGGAGCGGGGCTTGTCATATGTGAGAGTGGCTTCGGAATACGTTCTTTAAATGGGCTATTGTAGCTGCGGTAGAGCTGTCACCTTCTTGCTCCCGGGATCAGGCTTCTTGCAATCATTAGTAGTGATTGCAGGTAGATTTTATCCATAATGCCACTGCCAGACAGTGGGAGTTAGGGCAAGGGTGAATCTTCATTCTCATCTACTATTCCACATACTATTAATAACCTTTTACACATGAGAACCTCCTATCGATCAGAATGAATTGTACATATGTTTAGGATCAACAAACATTTTCAGGCGTAAAGGAGCAACAGGATAACTGATAACTTTTCTTAATTCCAAAATTTGAAGGCTGCTTTGAATAATATGTTTAGGTAATAGGCAGCAACAACGGACAGATAAACTACTTACAGCTTTGGCTATACGTTTAGTATTACTTCTTCGTACTTACAGCTTCTATTTATTAAATGCTTGATATAACGATTGCCAGCAACGCCGGCTGGGCGTATCCTATGGCTTACCCTCCCTACTAACAAAAATCCACCCTTCCCGTGACACTTATGAGGGGTCGTATAGTTCTCTGCATCTCTCTTAAGTAAGTGTCGGACTTACATTCCTCCCCTTTCCCCACCAGATGCAAGGACGTGGCCAGGACAACTCTGGTCTGTTGGAGGAAGACACATCCTTTATCTAAGAGGTAGTAATTAATCA